AGACACAGACGGACGGACGCCAGTCCTTAGACATCTCACTCAGCTTCTGAGAGGGGGTGCAGTGTACTGCGCTTCGTGATCATAATTACTGCGTTGGGGAGAGGTGAAATGTTTTAGTGAAATGAAATCTATTAAATCCTCCCAAATAACCCTGAGGAATAAATCACTCTGCATCTCTCAATTTTATGACATTTGGTATTTCATAATTAAAACAAGTTCTTGTCAAAGGTGCCATCACCAACCCCCACCTCCCCATGCCAGAACAGTACACCTGATTAAACTTCATCATGGATAAGCTGGAGCCTTCCATATTTACACTCAAGATGATGATTTCTTGCTCCATGACAGTCTGGAGCGCCTGCCAAAGTACCAAGTCCTAAGTGAGCAGGACTGTGCCAGCGATGATTTGGACAAGGTTAGGATGAGTGGGAGTCGGGTTGGTTGAAAAGAAGCAAGAGGCCAAAATCAGTTAAGTCAAATTAAACTTTAAGTGTAGCCAGATTTTTCTGGGTAAACAAACACTCAGATTGGATGACAGTTATCCTATTTCCGCATCCTAACATCCTACCAATAATAAATGAAGCAGTATTAACATGAGCATATGCTATTTCTCTATAGAAAACTTGTCATCCAAAACCTTTTTCTAAGGAACAAGTGTTCACGCTAAAATATATTTGTATTCCTTAGGAAAGAAAGTGTTCTTTAAAACATCATTACCCTGCTGTGAAAAACAAAACACATTATACTTATCGCTTCCAAATTTAGACTACTTCTTTTCAAGGAGAAGACACACCTTTAAACTAGCAGTTGTTATCGATACACATTACTAAATATAAAATAGACAAACAAGGACCTACTGTACAGCACAGGGAGCTGTATTCAGTTTCTTGTAATACCATATAATGGAAAAGAATCTGAAAAAATATATATGTATGTACATGTATAACTGAGTCACTTTGCTCTACATTTTAAAAGAATATTGTAAATCAACTACACTTCAATAAAAAATTAAAAAAACAAAATAAAATAGTAGTTGTTTCTAGAGAACACACATATTTAATTTATACTCTCATTCAGTTGCAAACAATCAAAACTCTTTCAAAAAAAGTATTTAAATAGATAGCATGAATTTTAAAAAGTATAGATAATGAATGTCAATGTAAGATTTTTATTCAAACACACTGGACACACAGATTTACAATATATAAACAACATCTAATTCCCTGGAACTCCCTTGCTTTCAATTGTGTGAAGAACTCATAAAGGGAACTGTAAGTCCAATGGAGCTTTAATGTCCCCATATTTAGTCTTCTATTAAGCAATATTCCAAAAGAAAAAAAAATGCAGCAAAAATATACAAGTGCACTTAAATCCACTCACATTACAGACCATAAAAAATTAAAATATATTTCCTATTGATTATGCACAACAGAGTCAAGGGCAGCAGCCAACTGACCTGATAATCTAATAAACTATTTAGAAGTTTTCCGCCTCAATCAGAGCTTTGGGTGAGGTGCACGCTCAAGCTATTCAGCATCACAACTATACTTAGCAGAAAGCCACTCAAATGCTGCTGTCACTTTGGCACTTCTAGAGAAAGAGCGATCATGTTGATAGGTTTTAGCTTAAAAGGGAGGCTTTTTATGAGAGATTGTAAATATTGATTTCACTAACAGACTCAGAGCAGTTTATGAGCTTGGGTACATAACACCACCCTTTTCATTTATATCACTGAGTTAGATTTCACTGGGGATCCAAACACCCAGGGTTTTTCAGGAAAGTCCGGAAAGACTCCTCGGGCAATAATACTTTGGAGATTCTTATTTCTTGCTTCTAGGAGAGCTCATATTTTTTGAGAATTTGAATGACAAATCATTGCTTAAGAGACCAGAGTTCTAATACATTTTTTCTTTCTATGGAGCTAGCCAGCCACTCATCCAGAGAGAAAGCTTCTTTTCAACTAAAGTATCCAATGAATATAATTTGAGAATCCACATGGTGGTGTACCAGGGGCTGGAATGAGTTACAAATGTAGAAAGAAGCCCTTGCCCTCAGAAAAACCTCATGTTTTCAAGAGAAATGGAGGAGGAGAATGATTAAGCACATGTAGGTACACTAGTGTTTACACAGCAGATGCAATATACATACACACCCAAATAAGAAAGTTCAGTATTTTTTTTATGAACAGTATGTTAGGCTCAATCTGACGTATACTGAATTTTCATCATGCGTAGGTACTAAAGATATGTACCTCTCTTACTGCTGTAATTTGGTCACATTTTTTTCAAGTTCTTACTTATGGGTGAGTGGATGAGAGAGTATTAATCTGGTTCCAGAAATAGGAAAATAAATCCAAACCTAAAAACAACCGGAAAGGAGACAAGTAACCTAAGGCCAGTAGTAAAACTGAACTTAAAAGAGCCTCCAACTAGATCATATTTTGAGCTCAGAGAAACAAATAGTAATCTCTTTTAAAGAAGAATTGCCATAAATAATAGAAGCTGGGAATATCTTCTAAGTCATGAAAATTACTGACAATCCAATTTATCTTCAGATAAATTAAGGGAAAATGGATAACTTCAAACAAATTTCAATACATAACATACACACACACACGGTGGGGGAGGGGGGATTCTACCTTGTATAAAAGCAAATATGTAATGAAATCCACAGATAGCTTTCCACAAACATAGGTAAGTGTGCTTTCTTTAGAAAAGGAAGTGCTCTGGGGACAGTTTCCTTTAAATTTTGGATTTTTCACAATAGCATTTTCCCTTGCGATTCACAGACTTACGAGTGAGAGGGAAGGGTTGTAACTTACTGCCTTAATTAACTTATGTTAAAATATAAAGCACAGATTGGGATGAATTTTTTCAATTCAAGGGTAACTAAGCTCTATATACCTGAAACCTTTTTACATCAGAGTATATGCCACACTCAATTTGCTATCTGAGAATTAAATCCCAAGATTCACCTCTGAGCATCCCCACAAATGTCTCTGGAATGCTACAATTCCCTTCCTGAATTCAAACTCCAGAAACAACTTCTGCAGACAAACCCAGTCTCACCTAGTCTTCACGTACCGCATTTACTGAAACTGTTCTTGAACTTGGGCTTAATTTTTAGCATGCACTACTTCTTAAGGTCACAAGTTTTATATATCAATTAAACGTTTAGAACACATTTGCTTTAAGTCATAACAGGCTTACAAATACCTTTATCTTATTCATACTCTAAATTTGAAGACCTGTTTCTATACGTTTGCCTAAGAATACTGAGAGTATAGTTTTAGAATCTGTGCTCAAGGAAGTCCTTTTACTCCCTTGACAATTTTCTAGTTCATAAAATCAGCTTATTAAAATTAGTGTTTAACACTAGTGTTAGAAAGGCTTAGTTTCAGAGAGAATGATCATACCTTATAACTATAAATGCTTAATCGTTATTTCCCATTTAAAATGTCTAGAAAGTCCCCTAGGGAGGATCAGTCTTCACACAGAACAGTCACCTGAAAGTCTTCCTACTGACCATCAACCTACGTTACACCTTTCTTCATATTGAAGAGGCTTCCCTATTCAGACTCTGATTATTTCCCTCCTGTTTTCATTAATCACATTCGACTCTTCCCGTCACCAAACTACTGTACCTGTGGAGTTTTTATTTTTCATTTGGCAACCTTTCTGTTGATTATACAATCCTCTGCCTTGTTTTACCCAATAAAGTTCCTATCTGTGTAGAGGGAAGAACCTATGGTCATTATTTTACCAGATAACCTTGAAAGACAAGATCAGCCTGATACTCTACCCTGCCTTAGAACACAATTTTTTCTTTTTTGCTGGAATGGTAATTTTTCATTTTCAACGAGTTATGCATCTTTTATCAAAACTTAGGCAAAAGTAGCTGAAGATGTCAGTCCTGAACTGACAAATGATATCTAAATACTAGTACTAGATACACTATTCAAATTAATTAACAGATGTGTGGATTTCCTTTCCATTAAACAACCTGTTTAGAAAGTCTAATCAAAATGGAGTTTAAGAGAGCAGAAATTAATATAACAGAATTAGTAATAGAAGTGTGTGTAGCCATTCTGTTAAGAGTTTCAGAGTCATAAAGGATCTAGATACCCGTATAAGACACACTCCCCTCTCTAAGAATAAAGAACTTTCAACAATCATCATCTTGTGCTCCACATATTCAATTGATAAAAATTTATAAATCAGTCTTAATGTAATAACAGTATACAATCATGGGAGAAATGTGAGCTCTTCATTGTAATTCTTAACTAAGTCTTAGCCTCTGTTACATGGGTAAAACCAACTGAAGTGCTCTAATCAATTTTGATTACTTACAATGGCAATTTTATTAGAGATGTCTATGGAAGGGTCCCTTTAGGGTTCCATTTAGGAAAATAGCTTTGATTTGGGGGGAAAAGGTAGAGAAATAGCCCAGAAGACTCATGAATAGCTGTGGAAACAGTGGTGAGATTAGGAACAAAGAAAATTCGGATGAAGAGTTAGGTGACGGAAAAACAGAACACCATTTTTGGAGTATGTGGATGAGACCACTAATTATGACTATTGCCATAAAGTAACTGACATCCTCCCAACATTACACACACACATACACACACCTTGCATAATATCATGATTAATCAAATTATATTCCAAGATAATTTAAAAACCAATTGGATTTAATTTTGTAAACATTAGTATTGCTAATATTACCAAGTCATTCTCGGCACTCCCTTTAAAAACCAATTGGATTTAATTTTGTAAACATTATTATTGCTAATGTTACCAACTCATTCTCAGCATTCCGAGGAGTGGCCAAGACTCCTATTATCAATTCTATTATATTAATTTCAACCCTCTTATCCTCTCTTCTGAACGTGTAATAACTTTTTATGAGCTACTATAACAAGAGAATGACTTCAATTTCAACAGGAAATAATGAAGGGGATACTTTTTCAGCTTTTTAATTTGTTGCTTCATGCACTTTACCTGATTCTTGAGATCCAATTTGGGACACGGGCGCCCTCCATTGTAAGGTTTTTCTTTCAGCCACTTGGATCGAATTCTCACTCCAATTCCACAAGATGAACTGCAAGACCCCCAACTAGACCAGTCGCTTAACTTGCAATCAAATGGGCAGGGGCTGACACACTCTTCCTGAATATAACCTGAAAGGAAAAGATTAAAGGGAGCAAAGTTTGATCAAAATGTACTGTTCAAATTACTTTGTTTCCATTATCACAGCTCAGATTGCCTAACAATATTGCTGCAGGGATTTCAATAAACAGACAATAGATTGAAGGGACAGACACATGGGATCACCTCTGCATTCTAAATTTGCACTGTTTACTTCCTAGGCAATTCTGGGATTGAAGGAGTAGGGAAAAGCGCTTTCTGATAAGAGGAACTGAAGGAGCTCAGGGCTAGTGATAGCACCATCCCCCCCACCCCAGGCCTTGGGTCCTGCAGTTCCCAGTCTGGGAACAGAGGGCATGACAGAGTCGATCTTAGCGCCTGTGCTCTGCAAGGCTTTCACAAAGAAAGATCTTGATTCTCACTTCTACGCAGTGTGACTTGGAGGTGGGGGGGCATGAAGAGTGGACCACAAATTAGGAAGAGCAGGATATTACTGAAAGACGAAGAGGAAGAGTGAGAGGTTGTGTATGAGACAGTGGACTGGAATCCAAGAGTACGGGCTGACATACAGATGCAGATGTTCCCGCTTTACTAGCTCTCGCTCCTGTCCTCACCCCACTTCTTGCTACAGCCTCTCTCTGGATGATTCACTACCACCTCCGCCGATCACTACCAAGTAAGTATTTCCAATTGTGGTCTCTCCACTAAGTTCTATACCACCTACTGATCCACTCTAACCGGATGCCCAATTACCCTAAATTCAACATGTCTAACACTGAGGCCATCAGTTTCCTCCTAAAAGATTCTAATTCTCTTGTATTCCTCATCTGAATTAACCACAACATACCTGATTTCTATACAATGGTGTATATGTCTGTATAATCTCCTCCCCTTGACTTTGGGCAGGACCTGTGAATTACAGGAAGTCAGCCCCATGATTAAGTTACAGTAAGTGCCAAAGGGGAAGGGAATGCAGAGATACTATTAACATGACACGTGACTGATTCTGAGTTAATCCAAAGGGAGATTTTCCTGAATGGGCCTGAATTCATCAGGTAAAAACCCTTCAAAGAGTGACTGGGCCCTTTTTGTGAAGAAGCAAATTCTCCCACTGCCCTTGAAGAAGCCAACAGCCACACTATAAAATGCCTATGGCAAGGCCACATGGCAGGGGGCTGCAAGCAGCCTCTAGGACCTGAGGGTAGCTCCTGGCTGTCAGCCAGCAAGAAAACCTAGAGCCCTCTAGGTACGTGAAGATGAATCCTGCCAACAATTCCAAGGGAGCTTGGAAAAGGAGCTTTCCCCAGTCAAGCCTCTGCTGAGACTTAAGTCTGGGCTCACACCTTGACTGTAGCTTGGTGAGACTCTTAAGTAGAAAATTCAGAAAAGCCACAGCTGTACTCCTGACCAGGGGAAACAGTGATATAATGAATGTTTTGAGTTGTTACACCTATAGGAATTTGTTATGCAGCCATTGAAAGCTACCAGATAATCCAAAGTAAAAGTCTCATTTATCTTAGACCTGCCTCCATCATTTTACACATCTATCAAAAGGGGTAATAAGTTCTTATGTTGAAGCATCACAAACATGTCCCCGACTCTGTAATTCTTTTGTTAGTCCCTGGTTCAAGATCATACTGTTTCTGGCCCAGAATACTGAAATACTTTCTCTGCTGGTCTCCCTTTCTCCTCATCATTCTCTTTCAGTATAAATTAGTCACTCTGACAAAGAAGTTACCTTTCTAAAATACATAATACCTTAGGCTATCCCTTTTAAAGCCTCTGCTAATTCTCCATTGCCTTGAAAATAAAGTGACAACCACTTCTGAAAAACTGTAAGATTCTTTATAAGAGGCTCTAAACAAGGGTTTTCAACTTTGGCCATAAACTATGTTCCCATTGTCCAGGATGTACTGTGGACCAATTCAACCAAAATCCCAGAGGATGGGACCTAGGCACTGGTAGTTTTCAAAGACCCCCAGAGAATTCAAATGTGTAATCAAGTCTGAAAGCCACCTCCCTGACTTGTTTTCCTCCTGCCTGCCCCTCTCCTGTATCTTGAAATCTTTCCATGCAGATGACTTCATCTTCTCCAATCATATGCATGCCTTTCCTCATGAAAAAAACTCTGCTCTTCCTCTAACCAGTTTAGCCTTACTGGTTCATTATTTCAACTACTGTTTTGCTAGTACAGTTGACCATCTGACCCCATTGCTCCTAGTGCCATGCCAGTCTGCCGAAACTTCAAACCTAGACTGGTCTGTTTTCCTACTCTGTGCTTAATACTGGACACCAAGCAGAGATTAAGGCAGTGCTAATGCCGCACACTGCCTGGTGATTCTTCTGAGCGTGCTTCTCACTCCTGTTCCACATTATGGCTTTTTCAAACCTTCTCCACCTGTCTTCAAATTTTTAAGATCCCAACTCTTCTTTCCCAGAAAAAAAAAAAAAGGAAACAAATGAATAGGCACTCCTCCAATTTCCTATGAACGCATCTGTCTACATTCCCGTCTTTTTTCTTTCCTCCTCACATTATAATGGAAAAGGCATCCATTTCTTGTCTAAGGCCTGTTTTCACCACTGGGTATCTCTGCAAGCTTACTCGCTCTCTAATTTTACAGCTGTATTTCTCTTATGTTAATATGAGTAAGACTTTATATTCCCCACATGACACTCACTGACGAGAGAGTACAGCAAACATCTAAATCATCAGGAAGGATCCTTCTGGGGTTGGAAAAATTGCTCCATTTAAGGTTGTTAAAAGACTAATTCTCTATTGTTTAACAGGGTTGTAATTCCACGGCCATTTCTAGGGAGCTTTGATGGTTAATTCAGTATGAGGAACATAATAAATGCTAAATACAGAATGAAATACAGGCCACAGGAATTATTTAGTTTACAGAGAAACTGAGTCCAAAATGATTCCATTGTTACTGAATGAAAAGAGCAGGACACTTTTCATGGTGTAGCTGCTTCAAACATGAAATTCCAGGAGACTTCATATAAATAACTTTAAAATATCTGAGTGCCCATTTTGATTCTATTTTAAAGCATATTTTGAATTAGGTGGTTTTTTAATTCAACGAGATTTTAAATCATTTTCATCTTTACTTGCATATTGAAGGATTTTAATTAGAGAGTCTCTTAGCAATACTGTTTTTCTTTTCTTTCCCCATGATAAGATATAAACCCAGAGGAGCTCTATGAAAGTCAAGGTCATAAATTCAATAAGTATGCAATAATTTTGAAATTCAACAGGTCTAAGCAATAGTGACATTTACTTTACAGGAAAGTTATTTTCCTGCTGGAGTATACCCCAAAGGAAAGCCCATAGTGAGAACCATTAATAATTGCATGTTCTTATACCTGCCTCATAATTGAAAGGATTAGTTTTACCCACATACTTAATGCTTACAACTTCTGGCAGCAGAATATGATCAAATGTGACTACCTACAAGGTTAACCTGCCGTAAGAGAATTCCAATTCACTTCACCAACAAACTTCACTAATGTTTTCAAAACTCATTTACATAAAATATACCACAGACTAGCTTCACTGGCAACATTCATAAATCTAAATCAAATTGCTATGAAAGAAGCAGTTTTTCTACTGAAAATATTTTACACTGTAATTTATATGCAGAACATATTGCTTGGACCATCACATTACTTGGCCTGGGAATGCTTTCGTGCTATTTTAGAACATGAACTTAGGTATGAAGTAGTCATTACAGAATTATCAACAGGGAATACATCCAACATTGTGATTCTGTAAACTATATACACTATATATATAGGTGTTGATATTATAAAAGTATCTGTTGATATTACAAAGATGAGACGAGTAGAATCCACTAACAGAATCTCTATGTCACAACTGAAGGAATTTATCTGTTGACTTACACCCAATAGGGCTGAAGCCCAGGAACCTGGAATGACTTCAATCTCTCTTACCAACCCCCAAACACTGCTCTTCAGTGCAACAGATATAGGGGAAAAGACAGCTCTCTGCATACAGTGGTCTCCTTGATAAAACTACTTTCCAGGGTATTACCTGCTGTGCATTTTTTTTTTCCCTTCAGCATTCAAGCCTTCCCCCGGCCCCTGCCCCAACCACTACTCCAGAAGATACTGCTTTGGAAAATGTGAAAGAAAGAAATATTGACAATATTCAGCCTGAGGAAATAATTTCGATTAATTTACTGATATATTTTCCTACTGTGTAAATTAAGGGCAAACATCCTTCTAGACAGTGAATGTTCTATTCACTGACACTGTGCTGAAATAATAAACAATACCAAAAACAAGAGGGAAAAGAGAAAGAAAATGCCATCATCTCCTTCCTACTTCAAAGGGAAGATCTGGGAGAGTGCTGTGAGTTCAAACGACATCATGTCTTCATTTCTCAATATTTAAAGAATTATTATTTCAATTTATACATTTTAGTTCTACTGTTTATCAATTAAAAAATTCCATACTAGAATGTATCTGATGACTTAAGCCAGAGTGATTTAAAGTAGATATTTGTTTAGGAGGGTGGGGAAAATATGGGGGCAGATGTTTTGACATGGTTGTAAGAAAGAATCTAAGAAATTAGATCAATACTTTGCCACTGTTCTCAAGGGAAACACAACTGTTAAACATTTATTTAGAATCTCAATCCATTAGTGTGTGGATATGTAGTGCAAATTCACTAAGACTGCCAGCTTCTTTGGTGAATTTCTATTTTGGCCTGAAGACTACTTATAGATGGCAGTTACATTCTTTCAAAGATGGTTCCAACCTTGTTTAGACTTCTGTGGGTCCTGAGAGGGGAAAACCACCTAAATTATTATCTCCTTTTAAAATTCAGAGTCATTAAAGTAACATTTTTGAAAATACTCTCTAATAGAAATATCTCTACTGCATATATAAACACCCATCAGCTTAGACTCTCTAATATTAAACCACTATAAAATCATGTTTACGGTATTACAAATAACCAAGAGTTTTTTTGGACCCGTAACCTCATTAGATACCTAAATATAGCTGA